ACAACTATCGAAGAGATCCTCCCCCTGATTCTAGTGACACAGATATTCCTTCAGATTCAGAATCAGAGATGACGGCCCAGAAGAAAATCAGTGACTACTCGCAACCGAAGCTCACAGATTTCCCGCACCTTACTCCCACTCCGGCTCTAGATGGAGTTCAATTTGAGAACAAGCCCCAATTTATCACTATGATAGAGAGGAAGCAGTTCAGCGGAGCTAAGGGTGAAGATCTTAATCTTCACATCGCAGATTTCTGCCAATATTGTAACACCATTAGACAAGCCGGAGTCACGCAAGACCAAATCAGGGAGATTCTTTTTCCTTTTTCATTATGTTGCAAAGCTAAATTATGGTTTAATGGTTTGAATAGAACTGCACTTGGTAATACTGACTGGGAAACTCTTGCTTTGAATTTCTATAATAAATATTATCCTGCAGAGAGAACAGCGGTGCTAAGGAGTGTTATTCAGAACTTCACTCAAGAGGCCGACGAAACGTTACATGAGGATTGGGAGAGGTTCAAGGATTTACAGAGAGAGTGCCCCCACCACAATCTAGCACAATGGCAATTGATCCAAGCATTTTATAATGGACTTGGAAATTCTTTTAGATCAGTGCTAGATTCGGCAGCTAGTGGGAGGTTTATGAATTTAAATGTGGATGATGCGGGACAGGTTATCGAAGACATGGAAATACACAATTCCCATTATGGGAATGCGAGAGGGTTTACAAATAAAGGAAAACATAGTGTCGATTCCGTATCCTTTTTGCAAGCTCAATTAACATCTATTTGTCAAAAATTAGATAATATTACTACTGCTCCTAATTCTGTAGCTAATGTTTCAGCTGTTGCTAACCATGAAGCTTTTTGTGAAAATTGTGGAATTGTAGGTCATTGGGAGCAAGATTGTAGGAGCTCTATGGAACAAGTTAATGCCTTTCAAACCTATAGGCAGAATAACCCCTATTCCAATTCCTACAATGCCGGTTATAAAAATCATCCTTATCTTTCGTACCGGAGCATCAATGTAAAAAATCCTCCACCTCCACAACAACCACAGCAGCAAACCCCACCACAACAAAAATATTATCTTCCTAATTCCGACCAGAAAAGCCATGCATCACCCTCATCATCTTCCGACCCTGCCATGACAGAAAGTAGAGCAATGCTTGCCAACATGCAAAAGCATATGGAGAGTAAAGATGCGCAAATTGATTCCATCCTAGCCCATAATAAAATCATGGACAATCAAATTGCACAACATTCATCTACCCTAAAATCCCGTCAGCAGGGAGCTCTACCATCACAACCTATCCACCCTACAGATCATGGCAATGCAATCACTCTACGGAGTGGTTCACATTATGATGGACCTCCTATGCCAAAGGAAGATAGACCAGTTCTTGATCTAGATTCCCCTATACCAAACGGTAATCTTGCTAGCCCTGCAGGGCTACAAATAGATACTAACCCTACTAGTTTTTCCTTGCAGGGTAAATCGTACGATAAGGGAGGAGATGTACAGAGCCCAGTTATCAAGCTTCCATTCCCTAATAGACATCTAAAGAGTAAGCTTGATAAACAATTCGGTAAGTATTTAGAGGTGGTGAAAAACCTGCAGGTAACAGTTCCTTTTACTGACTTAATCACTCAAGTTCCTGCTTATGCTAAATTTATGAAAGACATTCTGACTAGGAAAAGGGCCTTTAACGAAGTAGAAACTGTAGCTTTCACAGAGGAGTGTAGCGCTTTATTGCAAAACAAATCCCCTCCTAAATTAAAGGACCCCAGTAGTTTTTCTATCCCTTGTCACATTGGGAATGTTTTTATTGATAAAGCTTTGTGCGATTTGGGTGCTAGTGTCAGTGTCATGCCATTGTATGTCTGCGCTAAACTTAAAATGGGAGAATTAAAAGTTACTAATATAACTTTGCAAATGGAAGATCGTTCGGTAAAATACCCCTTAGCTATTTTAGAGGACGTACCTGTCAGAGTTGGTAAATTTTTTATTCCTGTTGATTTTGTTGTTTTAGACATGGCAGAGGACACACAAATACCCATTATATTAGGTAGGCCTTTCCTCCATACTGCAGGAGCAATTATTGATGTAAAAAATGGTAAATAACCCTTTCTGTAGGTGACGATAATGTTACTTTCAATTTAGGGAAGGTTTTAAAAGGGCCTATGCTAGAGGAAAATTGTTGCTACATTGATATAATTGATGTAATGGACGATATTTGTGATGATAGCTTGCCACAAGTTCTTGCGAAGGATCCCTTAGAGGAAGTTCTCTGCGGGAATTTATCTTGCGAAGGATCCCTTAGAGGAAGTTCTCTGCGGGAATCCCTTACACAATGCAAGTATTTGAGGTAATGAGGTACAGGATTTTGAAATGGCTTTTTCCTTAAAAGAGTTAAGCCTCGAGGAAACAATGAAGGTAGTAAATTTAGTTCAGGAATCAAAACCTGCAGAGGTCAAGAAACCTGAACTAAAACCTCTCCCTTCACATTTAAAATATGTTTTTCTAGATGAACAAGAACTACACCCCGTGATCATCAGTACTGCACTTACTGACCTACAATCTTCCCAACATCTAGGGGTTCTCAAAACCCATAATAAGGCTATAGGGTACAGTATTGATGATCTCAAGGGTATTAGCCCTTACTTTTGTATGCACAGGATACATCTAGAGGAAAATTACAAGCCCTGCATTCAACCCCAACGAAGATTAAATCCCAACATGGAGGAAATAGTCAAGAAGGAGGTGATGAAATTACTTTATGCAGGTATTATCTATCCTATTTCTGACTCCAAGTGGGTAAGTCCTGTGCAGGTAGTGCCAAAGAAAGGTGGGATGACTGTGATAACAAATGAAAAGAATGAATTAATTCCCACTAGAACTGTAACAGGGTGGCGTATGTGCATAGACTATCGTAGATTAAATATCGCCACTAAAAAGGATCACTTCCTTCTTCCCTTTGTTGATCAAATGCTTGAGAGGTTAGCCAATCATAAATTCTTTTGCTATTTGGATGGGTACTCGGGATTTTTCCAAATTCCAATTCACCTTGTAGATCAGGAAAAGACTACTTTTACATGCCCTTATGGCACTTTTGCATATCGTAGAATGCCCTTTGGTTTATGTAATGCACCCGCTACCTTTCAACGTTGTATGATGAGCATTTTTTCTGATTTCATAGTGTCTATTATGGAGGTCTTTATGGATGATTTTAGCGTATATGGTTCTTCATTTGATTCATGCTTAATTAATCTCGCTAAAATTTTGAAAAGATGTGAAGAGTGCAACTTAGTCCTTAATTGGGAAAAAATGTCACTTTATGGTGACAGAGGGAGTAGTCCTAGGTCATATTGTATCTGATAAGGGCATACAAGTAGACAAGGATAAAATATCAGTGATTGAGCAATTACCTCCCCCAGTTAATGTTAAGGGAGTTAGAAGTTTCTTGGGTCATGCGGGGTTTTATTGCCGTTTTATCAAAGATTTTTCTAAAATTGCTAAACCACTGACACAACTTTTGCTCAAGGATGTCCCATTTATTTTTACTGACGAGCGTCTTAAGGCTTCAACAGGATTAAGCAGGCTTTGATATCGGCACCTATCATATGTGCTCCCGATTGGAACCTTCCTTTCGAGATCATGTGTGATGCAAGTGACTTCACGGTAGGAGCCGTGCTCGGACAGAGGAAGGACAAGGTTTTGCATGCTATTTATTATGCTAGCAAAACTTTGGATTAAGTCCAAGTCAACTATGCCATTACGGAAAAGGAGTTTCTTGCTGTTATTTATGGTTTAGAAAAATTTAGATCATATCTTGTTGTTTCTAAAGTTATTGTTTATACTGATCATGCAACATTAAGATATTTGATAGCTAAGGCGGAATCAAAGCCAAGGCTACTCCGGTGGGTTCTCTTGCTCCAAGATTTTAACATAGAAATAAAAGATAAAAAGGGAGTAGAGAACGTAGTGGCAGACCACTTGTCACGTATCAGGTATGATGAGGGTAAAGACTCTTTACGTATAGATGATTCTTTCCCTGATGACAACCTATATGCAGTTGTAGAGCAACAACCATGGTATGCAGATTTTGCTAATTATTTAGTGGGTGGTACTCTACCTCCTGACTTGTCCTACCAACAGAAAAAGAAATTCCTTTCTGATGTTAAACATTATTTTTGGGATGATCCTTTTTTGTTTCGTGAGTGTGCAGATGGATTATTTCGCAGGTGTGTTCCCGAATGGGATGCTCATGGCGTTCTTGCCGCCTGTCATACATCACCTTACGAAGGACATCACGGCCCCAATAAAACGGTGGCTAAGATTAATGAGTCAGGCTTCTATTGGCCTACTATGTTCAGGGATGCTAACACTTTTGTGCAAGCTTGTGACTCTTGCCAGAGAACTGGTAACATTTCGTGGAGGCATGAGATGCCCCAAACCGGGATTCTTGAAGTAGAAATATTTGATGTTTGGGGTATTGATTACATGGGGCCGTTCCCATCTTCTAATGGGAATTGCTACATACTTGTAGCCGTCGATTATGTGTCAAAGTGGGTTGAGGCCATAGCTTCACCAACAAACGATGCCAAGTTAGTCACCAAGCTCTTCCAGAAGACCATATTTCCGAGGTTTGGCATTCCACGGGCTATCATTAGTGATGGAGGTACCCACTTCCATGAAAGACAGCTGGATAACCTCCTTAAGAAGTATGACGTATATCACAGAACCGGGCTTAGTAACCACCCTCAAACTAGTGGTCAAGTTGAGGTCTCTAATAGGGAAATCAAGGAGATCCTGGAAAAGGTAGTAGCCAAGTCAAGGAAAGATTAGAGTATCAAGCTCGGTGACACACTTTGGGCATACCGAACAGCATTCAAGACACCAATTGGTACTTCACCTTATATATTAGTTTATGGTAAGGCATGTCATCTTCCCGTGGAATTGGAGTACAAAGCTTTTTTGGCGATCAAGGAGCTTAACATGGACTCTAAGGTCGGGGGTAAGAAAAGACTCCTCCAACTCAATGAGTTAGATGAGTTTAGATTGTCAACATATGATAGTGCGCGAATCTACAAGGAGAAGACCAAGAAGTGGCATGACAAGAGGATCTTACCAAGAGAGTTTGCACCAGGTGATAAAGTTCTTCTCTTCAATTCTAGATTAAAGATTTTCCCAGGAAAGTTAAAATCTAGGTGGTCCAGTCCCTTCACCGTCAGAAGGGTGAACAAATTTGGCTCGGTAGAGTTGGTCAATGACAAGGGTGAAGAGTTTAAGGTAAATGGCCAACGACTGAAGGTGTATCATGAGGGCGCTACAAGTAGAGATGTGGAGGAAACCTTCCTAACTCCATTTCCAACCTGAACATCAAGGTGGTAAGAGGGTCGTGCGGTACCTAGATAAACCAGCGCTTTGCGGGAGGCAACCCGTATTTCTTGCTTTCTAGACTAGTTTTCCTTTTTATTTATTTTTATTTTTATTTATTTTTTTGAGAGGCGAGGAGAGTGTAATTTTACCGTTTATAAGTGTTTTTGTACAGGTATAGGTTTAAGAGGTCGAAAGACTTAGAAAAAATTTGAAAACGAAGAAAAGCTAAGGAAACGACTAGGCACGGGCCCGATATTACTAGCCTTTAATTCGCCCGATTGGGCGCGAAAGGGGAGCTGGGAATTGAGCAAAATTCGCCCGATCAGGCAAAGTTGCACGATCGGATGCGCAAGTGCAGTTACAAACTCGAGCAAATTTCGCCCGATCGGGCAAGGTTGCCCGATTGGGCGCAAATCGAGTGAAGGAAAAGATATGTCGGGTGAAGCTCGCCCGATCGGGCGAGCCATAGGGCGAATTTGTCGTTCGTGTTCGCGCCCGATAGGGCAGAGCTCACCCGACCGGGCGCGCAACTACGATTCTGGAATTTCAAATGATCCGCCCGATCGGGCGCGCCTATTTTTGGCCGTCCCCTTATATTTTTCTTCTTCTTTCTTTCCTCATTTTCTTCTCCTTTACTTTCTCTCTCTAAAACCTCCATTTTTACACCTTCAAACTCACTTATTTTTCAATTTCTTCTCCAATCCTTCCATCAAAACTCAATTTTTTTTACATATTTCTAATCCTTTCATCTTTCTCTACAATCTAGACCCAATTTCTACCATTTTCTCTCAATTTTCTCTAAACCCTAAGAGAGAGAAACCACTCAATTCCTATTCTTTCTACCATCAATGGCTTTCAAGAGGTCAAGAACGGTAAGGGGGGAAGGCTCAAGGAACCAAGAGGCGAGATTTGACCCGAACTTGCAAATTCCGGGATGGGAGAGGGTGGTCATCACCACCCAAGAGCAAAAACAGAGGATGCTTAACCTCATCACGAGGCAGGTAATTCCCACTCGTTTCATTCATCACCCTACCCTTATTAGACTATGAATTGATAAGCATGTAGAAAAATTATTCAAGGGAGTTGGCATGAGCGGTTTCTTTAACATGCCTTACGATACTTGTGATTATTTAACCTTAGAATTCGTTTCTAGTTTTAATTTCATAAAATCAAATGCCTTAATTTCTCATGTTCAATTTCGGTTAATCAATAATGATATTAGATTGACTTGGAAGAATTTGGTTGTCTATCAATCCCTTACGGGGGATCTTAATTTGAACCTCCAACACGCTAAAGGTACTTGGATACAACATCCCGTGCCAAAGATTTGGAAACGGTTTGTTAGTCTTACCATTTTTGGAAGGCATGAACCCGCCAATGTTAGGCGGGATGAGCTTGAATTACTAGGGTCATACATGATCCCTAGGAGTGAAAAGCTCAATATAGTACATAAAACGGCCAACCACTTCCAACGGGTGGCCAATGTGGCCGAGGCGGGTAGGTCTAGGCTACCCATTTACTTTGGTGGCCTACTTACACATATAGCGGTCAAACACCTTAGCTTTGTCCCTAACGATGATGGTAAGGTAGCCGGCCCAACTAATATGGACCTACCCTATCTAGGTGGCCTTAATTGGGTTAATGTCATGGGAGGGGAGACTTGGTGGGTGATTCAACGGGAATCGGGTAGGAGAGATAATGCTTTCACTTTACCCCACCCCACCTTGACTAAATTTGAGAAGGGGAGGCCTTCTTACACTTTTGAGCTTAACGGTCAAGGTGAGGTGCAACCACCTCACCCTTCACCTCAACCCTATCACTCTCCCATTGACCACTCACCTCCTTACCATTCACCACATTATCCACCACCTCAACCCTTTACATACGATATCCCCACTTCCTCTACCAACTACAACATAGACCCCAAAGCCCCTTATGACTTCTAGGCTTTTAGGAGCCAATTACATAGGATTGAGACGGGGCAAGGGAGAGTTGAGGGTTTGGTTAGGGATTTGGATGCTAGAGTAGGTTCTCTAGATAGAAGGGTAGGTTATGTGGAGCGGAACCTAGGGAGGGGTTTATACCCCATGTATGATGACTACGCCCGTTGGGGGGCTATTATCCCCGACTCACTTGTCCCTGATTGGTTCCAATATCCGCAGGGTGGATATACGAACCCAAGTGCCTTTGGTACCTACGTCGACTACTCATCGGTCCATGGTTATGGGACCGATGTACCTTTTGGTGGGTTTAAGGGGAATATGGACCCTAACTACTTTGTAGGTGGTTCTTAGTGTAGTTTTTAATTGCTTTCTTATATATGAAAAATACAAAAAAATTGAAAAATAAAAAAAAAACTCAAAAATACGTTCCAATGAATTATGAATCATACTTCCCTGTGCCCCATACTTGAGAAATATTTGTTTTGATTCTTGGTTATTGATAATGAGCATTGTGGATTTGGTGGTCATGATTTGAAGTTTAATTGCTTGGATTCCTAAACATGAGTCAATCTTGCCCAACTACTTGTGAATATAGTGCTTGACTAGTTGATTTGGTTAGAAAATGTGTGATAGTTCCATAATTCCCGGTATGTCAATGAATTTGAGTATTGATTTGCAACTATGAGTAGTGTTTCATGACTTATTATTATGCACATGAGGAGGACGAAGGCGTTTATTCTTTTAGGTAGCCTTCAGAGTATTAGATACATTTGTTCCCTTCTTGTTACCCATGTTGTTTCTTGTGCCATTTTATTGTTTATAAACCACATTAAAAGCCTATTTAAGCCCCATTGGTTACTAGTCCCAAGCTTGGATTGAAGGAGCTAATAGTTGGTGAGGTAACGGAGTTGTGGTGTGCATATTATTTGCACAATTTGGGAATAAAAGAAGAGTTATTGTTCTTTGATTATTTATTGGAAAATATTGATATTCAAAGTTGAAATTTCCAATATGGGTTAAAAAGAAAAAAAAGAGAAAAAGAAAAAAAATTTAGCGCTCAAATGTTCGATTCGAAGGTTGTTCAAAAGAAATAAAAAAACAGAAGAAAAAAAATTCAAGTAGAAAAAAAAAGAATGAGTTCAGAGTTTGTTTTTCACTCAAAATTCTACATTATCATATTTTTATGAGTGATTATTGTAAGTGTTGGGATTGTTTATGATGATTAGAGTTGTATTTGGTGGTTTTTGTTGGAGTTGGTTATGTTTATAGAGATGTATGATCATCGTTATTTTGATCATGGGTTTATTAGGATTTGGCTCCTTTAATGCATAGCTTTTCTCTCACATAATCCCAAATTTATCCTATACCCTAGCCTTACATTACAAGCTTTAAAGACCTTCCGACCTTGTGCATAGAAGTTATGTAAACGTGAAAGTGTTGTTTGTCAACGCAAGTTATGACTTGGCATATTTCGAGTCGACTAGTAGGATGAGCGTTCAATGTTTATACACACGAGAGTGTGAGTTGGGAAGGCATTGTTCACATTAAAGGGGTTAGTTGGAGAGCGATCGAGTACATCTTTTACTCGCTACATAAATGAGAGTTGAGTGTGTGAGCACTAGTCTTGAATTCTATATGCTCTTGTGGTTTGCTCTACTTGACAATTGTTGAGGAGGAAGGGTGATTAGATGAATAAGATTGATTGATGTTGAAGCATGTTCATTAGATTTGCCTTGAACCGTTGGTTTTTGATTTGATTATTGGGGTGAAGTATGTTTTATATGTTAATTGATGAGCTCTTTGCTTAGGGAAAAGCAAAGGTTTGGCTTGGGGGAGTTTGATATGTCCATTTTATATAGTGTTTTACCCCCGTCCCTTGGTCGTTATTAGTAGTGTTTTTGGCTCTTTCGGGCCACTTTTATTACTAATTTGTGTGTTCTAGTGTTTTCGTAGTTTTAGTCGTATTTTACAGGAAATTGCACTCTTGGAGCATTTTCCCGGGCTTTATAAATCAACTACGGAAGCTAAAAAGACGTATCAAGCCCAATCGAAGTCCAAGCTCAAGGAGAAGCAACCGCCCGATCGAGCTACCTCTAGCATGATGGGGCACGACATGGCTTGTTGCTGAGCGTGCTAAGGCGCGCCGGATCGTGCGAGCCTCTAGCACGATCGGGCGATGCTTCTTGGGAAGAACGCGAAGAAAAAGGCGCGCCCGATCGGGCGGCCCTTCGCCCGATCGGGCGCGCGTTTTTAGAAGACCAGATTAAGTTTGTTTTGATTTTTGTTTTGGGAGACGTTTAACTACGATTTTGTACGAAATTTTTAGCTTACCTTCCTTCTTAGACTTTCTCTCTCTACTTAGTATTTTTCTCTCTCTTAAATTCTCTCTCAACTTTTGTTCTTAATTATTTCATTAATTCCACATTTCTTTTTGGTAACAATTTCTTCTCTTTTAATTTCAGCTATTTTACTTGCTTCTTTGATTATGCCTTTATTTGATTTGTTTAGCTATGATGATGCGTGAGTAGTTTCATTTTAGGGTTTATGGGGATCCATAATTAATATGAAGGGATAGTTTGTTAATATTGATTATTGATATTGCATGATAATTTCTTATAGAATTGTTTTAATTCTTTGCAATTAGATTATGAATAGAGCAGATGTAATTTGATTTTGAATGTTTAGCTATATTGAATTGATGAATCAAGCAGATGTTAATTTAATATCAAAGGCTATTTTCAATAAGAACTTAGATCTAGTAAATTGCGAGAGCCTGTTAGATCTATGTTGATTAATAAATTGCGAGAGCCTGTCAATCATGTTATTTGTGCATTGTTAATTATTAATTACTTCGTTCTATCCCGGAATATTAATTGTTGGTGAAACTGTGACCCTAGGCTTCCTTATTATTGTTTCTTTTCTCCATAAACTTATTCTTCGTAGTATAGAATTTATTCCCTAAAATAATTGTTACTTAGATAATTTAGGCTATAATAATTAATTAGGAGTGAAAACATCTGTTTCCCTGTGGAGTTCGACCCTACTTCCATATCT